ACCAGGATTAGGCAGGTTTTAGGCTGTTGCTTTTGGCCATTTCTCTCATTACAGGCTTACAGCAGCTGCCTTATCTCAGAGAAGCACTTTTATTAGATAGGAGACTAAAGGGAGAAAGAGAAGAAATGAGGTAAGGAAGGAAATGATCTGATAGAGGCTGAGAGGCTGGGACAAAATGATGTCTTGAGGTTGTGGCCACCTTGTCTCGTTCCATCTTGTTGGAGAGCCCTGGGTGCAGCCCCATTTAGGCCAGGGTGGGAGCAATCCAGGGATTTTTGTCAGCTTTCCTGCAAAGAAACACTAAGCACGTGCAAGCCACAGCGGCGCTGTGTACAGCAGTGTTCCCAGGCAGGGCGAGGCAGATGAAAGCCTTCCCTCCAGTGGAGCTCTGGACTCTTCAGAGTTCTCCAATACTGCTGCTGTGAAATCTCCCCAGGCTGCTGCTGGGAGCGGTGCCTGCAAGGCTGCTGCTTGTGGCCTGGCAGAGCAGGAGAGGCTGAGGTCTCCTCCTGTCCCTGCCCGCCCCGGGAGCTAGATGGGAGGTCCTGCTCTTGCACTTGTGTGCTCGGAACATCTGGGTTTGATCCCGCTCCTTGGTTAATCCGTAGGAGCGCAACCTCCTGCTGCTGCTTTTTCCCATTCGGTACCGCAGTGCGCTGCGATGGGGCCGCCTCTGCTTGCCTCACAAGTGCGGTACTGGCTCAGAAAGCGATGAGCCGCCTCTGCCTGGCGCTGAGCTCTCCTCGCCCTGTCTGTCACTGTCACCAGCTCCCCTTTGCACGCAGTTTTATGCCACAGTTTCTACTGAGCAGGTGAACAGGCAGGGAACCCTGTGAACTCTAGCTACTAGATTAAATAAATTACTGTTTCTCATTTGCTGTCCCCCTCCACCCCCTGTCCCAGCTATTGCAGAGCTTTTTGCTTTAGCTGTCTGCGAGTATGAGACTGAATGTGCTTTTGTTCTAGATCAAATGATTCTTGCCTTGCTTGATGTTTTCTTGGCTGCTTTTTATTGGGTCTTCTCTTCCTGAGTTCCTCTGGGGTAAGTACAAAGATTTTGCAGGCTTCCAGGGTTTTGCATTGGTAGTCTACAACTTCATACTTCAGTGCTTCATAGGTAAGAACTTAAACACTGGATCTCCCTCAGAGCACAAAACAGAAGCTCACATATTGTTCTTTAAAGGCAAGCTTGCTTGGCAGCTGGTAAGCAACAGACACCTCAGCTTGGATGCAGTCTGAGGCACCGAATCCAGCAAATATTGTTGGGAGCTCCCAGCCCTAATTAAAACTGAAATACTGTTTTGCTCCTACCAGGGCTGTCCAGCTGTGACAGTCTGAATGGGAGAGCTCAGAGACTGCAGGAAGGATTTTAAAATGTCTCCTCGAGACAAGAGGCAGAACCTGTATCAACAAGAAAGAGATACTTTAAATCCTGATGAGTGAAACTGATTTTTTTTTTTTTCTAGCACTGTTTTGGAGGCTTAGGGTCCCTCTGGCTAAATCCCCAAGGAAGAACCCAGCTTTTGTATGGGAAAGGATAGAGCAATCTGAGCACAGGCTGAAACAAAGAATTACAGTAAGTGATATTCAGCAATGCCTGTTAAAGCCACTTTCAAAACTTCATGTATTGGGCAAAAGGGCTAAAATTCATCCCAGTGTGCAAGCTTGTTGGGAGGAGACTCATTCTTGATTCGTTTGTCCTGCACAGTTTGATGATACTACAAACCCACAGGTGGCAGCTGCAATCCGTATCCATAAAGTTCCCCGGTAATGCAGAGCCTAAGAGCTGCAGCATCCAGGCAGCCCCTTTTCCCAGGCCACTCTGTAGTCGTATAAGGGACTGCTGTTGGGAAGCAGGCTGTGAGACCTGTGGAGCACGGCACCTGCTGAGAAGGGGCTGGCTCAAGAAGAGCCAAGCTCCAGACTTGTTCTGGATTCATACCCCAGCTTGGAAATGCCCAGCAGCCTCTGCTGAGTTTGGAGAAGAATGCATCAGGGTCAGGTGTTCAATACGCCATTTTATGTGCCAGTAAGTGACCCTTTCTTGCTAATCTCAGAAGAACTGACTGAATAGCTGGAGAGAATTTTTGTTTGTTATTGCACGAGTTCAAAATATGTCATTTGACAAGCTGTAGGCCAGATCTTCATATTGCTGTGCACGGCTGTGACTTCATCAGCTCTGGTGTTACAGCACTGTGAGCTAACAGCTGGCTTGTTGCTCTGCAGCTGTGCTCTGCTTACTACTCTCAGGTGGGAAAGGGAAGTCTGTTTCAATGGCAGTAAGTTAGAAAAATGACAAAGGAAATGTCTTATGCTTCACAGCATCTCTGCCACCTGTCAGGTATTTATGGAACACAAGGGCATTTCAGTGGTTGTCAACGTCTGTAATCAGTACTGCTGCTTTTTTATTTTATTTTTCTAAAGAGCCACAGCAAAATGATGAAAACTAGGAGGAAAAAGCTACAATGCTGCTCTCCTTCCTACCTTTTACATCTGTGCGTCAATGTTTCATTTTGAAAGCTCTCTCATTTTAGTCACTACTTTCTTATTGCAGGCAGGCAGAATTGGTAGAAATATTGATCTTCTTTTAATGAGTTTGAACAGAAAAAATGAGCGTGACTCAGAGAAGCGAGGTAGTATAGACAGATTGATGTGTCTTTTTAACTGCTACTGATGTACCTTTTTAGAATTTGCTCTTTGTTATCACACATTTCCCTGCATAGACTGATACTGGCTCATTGTGTTTTGTTGCTTGCAGAGAAGGTGTTTGCATTTCGCTGGCTGTGGTCGCAGCCTGCACCTTCATTCAACTTTTGCAAAGGTCGGCTTTCCAACAGCCCCAGGGCACGGGATGCTCGGAGGGGAGATGACCCGAAGTAGTCCTGCAGCGACCTTGGGCTGGTCCTTGGCGGCAGGGAGAAGAGGCCTGGGTGAGTCCTTCCCCTCCTCTGAGCCCAAGTACAGGGCAGGTGTCAGCAGCGGGTTCTCAGGCTGGTTCCTGCAGCCTCGGCTGTTGCCTCACGTTTCCGCTGGTCTCCCTAGTCCTCCAGCACCATCTACAGTCCTCCATAGACGGAGGAGATGCTCCACTGCCCCCAGGCCCGACCAGGAAAGGGTCAGCTGCTGAGCCAAGGTTGTGATTTGGGGGATATTTGCAGCTTTGTCCATTGTCTCACAGCTTTCTGGCCTAATTGCTAACAAGGTAAGGGGCCTGGAGAAAAACAAATCCAAACCAAACACTGCACACATCCTTGCGCCCTCCAGTTTTCACACCAGCTGAGTGATTGCAAGGTGTTAGGCTTGGTAAGCTGGAGCAAAGGCAAATATTCAGCCTGACCTACAGCCACATATCTTGCATAGACAAATCCTAGTGCTAAGTATCCTATTTTAACTCTTGCCTTCACTACCCTATGCTCACACTTGACACATGAACCTCTGGGATAATCTCTTTTATGGTACTGATTCCTTTTTTGCTTGCTTTTTTTTTTTGTGTCTACATCTACTAGAAAAAAGGCAAGGAGAGACTTCAGAGAGCAACACTTTGCCCTTTCCACGTAGTAACTGGAGAGCAGTCCACGACTAATTTGTACTGTGTTACTATAACCCTAACAGAATCCCCAGACAGACACTAGAAAACATGCTCAGTATAAATAGTTTATTAAAGAAAATAGCAAATTACATTTCTGTGAACAATCCATGTGGGAGAAGTGGTGTTTTCCAAAGTACATGGGGTTTTGGATTGCTATGTCTAAGGGGGCAGGGGGATCCCATGAGATGCAAGTGTTATGGGACCACTCTCAGCCTTCAGGTAAATTACATGGAGAGGAAGAGAAGAAAAAGCTAGAATTCCAAGTGGCAGTCACATTTTGCTTCGCTATCTCTCTTGCAGCATTCCCATTTGACTGCATTTGCCTCCTCCCTGTCGGGTAAAGGCAGAAACAGAAGGGTCTCCTCACCACCTGCCACAGCTGTGCTCGGCCGACCCGGCAGGCAGAATGGCTATTTGGTTCTGCAGTGACGTAGGTGCAATGTGAAAGCCAGCTGCGATTCAGGCCCTGCACAAATGCTTGGCAAGGTGAGCAGAAATCAGACAAAAGTGCAAATGAAAAGGATATGACAGTAAATAACAGATTAAAACATTACGCTCTGTGATCAAAACTTTTGTAAGCACTACATGGTAGGAAATCCTTTGTTCCGTGTGTGCGGCAACTGGCACATCTTGGCCTCTGGGCTGTGTTTTAAGGAACGTTCTTGGTGAGTTTTTCAATTAAAAGAAATGTACGTTTCTCAAAGTCTCAAACGTAGCCTTTTTTAACTTAAAAGATAATGCTATGAGCGCACGCTTCATTCCCTTTTTATATTCATTTACATTTCTCTCATTATTCATAAAGGACAGAAAATTTACTACCAGAAAGACAGCAGATGCCAGACCTACCTAGTTCACGCACAACAAAAAGATAAAGGAAGGAGCTGAACTGGCTTCTACAGTTGGCAAAATGAGATTGAAAAATTCTAAGTCAGTTTTAAGAGATTTTTCCATGAGAAATAAAGCCAAGAGGAATTTTGCCACTTGTTCAAAACCCTGTGACTTGATAAACAGTTTGCTCTGAACAGGATCTCTTCTTCCCTCCAACACCACCCCA